GTGGGCGGGGCGGGGCTGGGGGGGTTTGGGGAGGTGGGGTCTGATATTCCTGGCTCCAAGACCAGTTTAGAAAGGGGTCGACATGTTTTGTCAATGACACCATGTGAAAAATAAAATTACACATGCACCACCATGTTCGGACTTGCGGGGGCGACTCTATATCACACAGAATTTTAGAATTTATGGGTGTCTCAAAATAGAGGAGCCCTCGGGGTTGGTTTCCTAGCTTCTTGAACCATACAAGCGGGGTCATAACTCATGTCATGCGGTGGTTCCTCTTTGACTGGGTAGAGATCTGCTTTCCTTTGCCCTCAGACAGCAACTTTTTGACTACTGTTGGGCGGGCCTTTTGGGCAATGGGCTTGGTCGATTTGCAATCCGGCAGTGTCCCAACTGGAAAGGCAACCCCAAAACAGGGTCCTATATACCGTTAAACCGTCCAGACAGGACACGCTTGACCGCCAATGACCGGGCAGTCACAAACTGGGATACAACTTGACCACGTGATCGGCATCCCGTTCTTGTCAACATTATCGGACAACTGTGTACTTGGCCGACGGGTTGCATTTCCCATGTTGGCCGATTTTGTGTAGAGGTTCTGAAAGGTGATCGCCTGATATTTCTGGGTGAAGGGGCAACTGAGAAGCGGATGTAAGTTGTACCAAGAAAGGCTTGCTGGGTTCATGTTGATCCCACGGCATTGCAGCTGACAACTTCCGTTTGCTGCATGTTTCCCCTGTCGGTTTCAAAGGGAATCGATCACTGGAATCATGTCATGTTTTGTTTTCTTCTTTTCTTCAGGGGGGCTCAAGGAATGGAAGACACTCCGTGAATGTGATGGGGGTTGTATAAGAATGCATCCCCCTCCTGAACTCGTGGGTGTCGGGAAATCTGGCCAGAGCCATTAGCTGAGCAACCCTCCAAGGGGTTACCACGAGTTGCATGAACACATGCACGCTTCAATTGGTACGATAACTCGTAACCTCTGGTGGAGTGAACCGCGCGTTCTGAACCCTAGGTGAGTTAACAGTTAGCTGACCAGACCAGTCAATTACCCTGAAAGGAAGGGTTTCTTTACTATGTCTTCAGACCGGTTTTGAAGGGGACCCCCCCGTGACCCCCCCCCCCCCCCCGTCGTCGTCCCAAAAATGAGCATGACTCGGGACCCAGGCGGTTGCAGAGTACGCAGGAAACCTGTATCAGGTGGTTCCCAGCCGTCCGGTTCAATAATCAATAGGCTTTTAGTTTTTCTTAGTTGGTTTCGTGGTTGGGTGTCCATTTACCCCACTAGAGTTAAGCTTTTGGCAGGAGCTCTGAGGACAGCCCAGATGTAACACCACATTTTGTTTGTATATTCGTTGCATTGACCTTTATGCCACCTTTCTTGCACGCCAAGAAATGCATTTGGGTGTGTCCAATTTGTTTCTCGCCCCTCCAAGAGAAGCAAAAAAACTGGTGGTCCTTTTGGTTTCCCGTAAAGAGGGTCTCCAAAAAGCACACGCACACGCACACGCACACGCACATACGCCCGTTTGGTTTGTGGTGGATTCCGCCTTCCGCCTGTCGCCGCCCGAGGGTTCCATTTTGGACCAAAGGAGCAGGCAGAGTTATACAGGGCGTTCGATCGCTCAACTGGACCGATCGCCGCTGGCTCAGAGTGAAAGTCCCAAAAACCCAAACGCCAGTCGGACTGGGGTCAAAGGGCTGCTCGGAAAGGGTATGACCCCAAAGGCCCCCGTCTTGAACCCTTTTTTCGAAAACCAAACGGTTTTTTTCTTCTCCAGTTTTTCCCGTGCCGAGGCTGGGAGCAACCCACAGTGTGTTTTCCTTTTTCACGCGGTAGCATCACCTGTTGAGCGCAAACATAGATGAGTATCCTGAAACTGGGAGTCCAGTTCCCTTCACCCTCCAAGGGTGAAGGGCAGGTCCCGGGTTTTCTGAGGTCGCAACCATCCGGCTCCTCAGGTGCAGTGCGCTTTTTGGCGCGGTTGGGTTTTCATGAAACACCCAGCCCGAGTTCCTGGGCTTCGGACCTGGAAAAAGGGAGCAAACCTTGGAATCCAATTTAAACTCACTTGTAGCCTTTGGGAAAGTTGGAAAAGCCCCTTCTTTTCTTGTTCTTCTCCTGAGTTGAAATCTCAATGGCTTTCCCAAAAGTTTGGATACTTTTGTCGAAGCATCAACTCAGGCAGCGAGTTTCCCAGGACGTTTTCGACTTTTAGCGGATCCGAAACATGGACCGCCTGGGTTCGAGGTCTAAATGCCTATGCCCCAAGACGTAGGGTTCTTGGCTGCTCTCTGGCTATGAGATTCCTGCTCCTGCCTCCCCCCCCAAAAGAAACAGAAAAGCATGTACTCTATGCCCTCCATATAGTGGCTATGTGGTGTTTCTCACCCGAACCCTGGTGTAGGAATACAACTTGGATGCTCAAGGGATCTTTTTGGCCTGACTGGATCTTTCGGGCGCACCGCCGCACACCCCTCATGATGTGAAGGTGTTGCGACGTTTTGGGGGGCCTGCAGCAAGTTGCTTTGTTGGCCCGTCGGGCGGCCGAGTCAAAGCTTTCTGTGATACCAAGGGAGCCTTGAGGGGGACGAAGTCGCAAAGTTGTAGTTACTTTGGATGGTTGCGAAATCCAGAAATCGCACCACCGTTCAGGAATGATTCGATTCCCCAACGAAAATGTCTTGTCTTGCCTTGTCTTGTCTTCTCTCGTCTTGTCTGTCCACATGAATCCATGTAAGACTCGCGCCGGAGCCCCGCACCGCTTACAGTGCGGACGCATCGAAGCATGTGTGGAAGCACTGTCATTGCACAGGCAAAAACTAAGCAAAGATGGCAGTGGGCCTTGCATTTCAAAATTCATAGAGGACTGAACCAACACCTAAGACCCAGCCAGTGCTGGGGTGGGGGTGCGCGTTGTCGCGTTGCCCATCTAGCCGTGCTGACGAATGAGCGGATTGGGTGGCGCGGCTCAGGTCTTGATCCCACCGCCATCTCTGACCACAATCTCACTTCAAAACTGATGCTGCCTCACTCCACTCACTCTGCCTCAAAATCTGCGGACGGATCTTCAAGAGCACTTTGTTCTCCCGAGTCTCTTTGGGGAAGTTGAACGGATTGCTTCCTGAGCTTGGCCTTCAGTTTCTTTCATCAAGACACCTTTTTTGCAAGTTTCTGGCTTTCCCACGTTCCGTATTTTTTTCGACCTCCCCAAAGGCGATATCCCCTTGGGCGCCCAAGGGCGGGCCAAGGACGCCAACCAAACCGCCCTGAACCCGAGGTCATGGGTGCTGCTTGGAGCGAGGGGGAGAGGCGTGGATGGTGGCGAAATCCAGAAGTCGCACCCGCTTTCAAAGTGTTGGAACTCAGAGTTTCTTGGTAAATTTGCGGAAGAAACATATCATTCCATGGTTTCTTAGGTGGTGCAGGACTTCGTCCATCCAAGTAGGTGTGCTTGTTCGCTTCGTTCGGCTAGAAGTATATAGCACTAGTGGCCCTCGTTTTTTGCCCATAAGGGCATCTATGGAATGGATGCCTTTACAGCACGCTCGCAAAGTAGGCAGGACCTCCTTTTTGTAATGGGCTTGCCCATTTGGCAAATCTTGGCGTTTCTTGGGGTACTGTGCTTTTAAATGTTTAGAGGGTGTGACAACTGAGATTTTGTTTGCCTTCTGTTTGCGAACTCTGCGTTCGTTTTACCGCATCCAGGAAAGACCCCTCAAAGCCGCGGATCAACAAAGTTGCGGCCAGTGTTGTATTGTCATCCCCTCACAACCATGGTGATAACATGCTTGCTAAGTTGGTTGAACATCCAAGAAGCAGGGGTTGCCCCTGTCTCTACAAATCGATCCTGAGAAACAGACCCACGCGGCATTTTCCCAATGTCTACCTATGTCTGACGGTTTGGTTTTCCCACTTGAGGGCGATGAGCTGGCAAACCCAGTTCCAGGGCATGTTGCACCACCTAAGAAGCCACGGGACACCATTGTTTGTTGGCATTTGCAGGGGAGTCGTCATTCCAGGGCTTCTTAGGTGGTGCGAAATGGATTTCCCGCAGTCGCTTCTCCTGATAAACTAATAGCGGCAACTGGAAGCACTGGTAGATTATGGCAGCAACAAAGCTAATTCCCCTTGTGGCTTGTCACCTGGCAAGTGATCTCTTTCACTTGCGTATTTGGTACACAAGGGCTTTTCCACCCATCAACAACCAAAGGGAATATTTCTACTTTGGTGCTATAGTGATACTCGCCAGTTGTCTGCCATTTAACCTTTTGGCAACATGGTATAGTAAAGCGAACACCTAGTTGGAACCCTCTTCCCAACCTCTTGGTGATCAAGGGGCATCCCCGCCCGCAAAAAGCAATCTGTCCCTTTGTTTTTGTGTTTCAAGAGCCTTCGGGGGGACTGCTTGTTCCCAACCCGGCAAAGGCCGAAACCTTGTCCTTTGCAACTTGGCCTTTTTACAGGCTCTCACCTTCTTTCTGGGATTCCAGCCCTTGTTTCATTGGGGGGGGGTTGAGGTCCAAAACTGGGGTACCTGTTCCCACGGGGGGTGCGGGGAAGGTTTCAGTGGTTCCAAGCCGATCTCCTCAGAACCCCTTTGCGGGTGAAGGGTCGGTCATGGGGCCTGAGTTTTGGCGCAGCGGTAAAGCAGCAAAAAACCTCGAACAAACTAAAGAAGAAAAAAAACGCACACACACACACAATTGCAGACCCCATGGCCCCCTTGTCACCTCAAGATGGGGACAACCCACAAAAACAAAAGAAATTGCAGACCCCATGGCCCCCTCGTCACCTCAAGATGTGGACCCCAGAACAGTGGGCCTGCAATTGTCTTTTTTTGGTTTGATCGATGTTTTTTTTGCACCTTTGGGTTTTCCTTTTGGTTTTCCTTTAGCCAAAGCAGGGGCGTAGTGAACCTCAACAAAAAGACACCTTTTCAAGTCCCTGTCAAGGTTCTCCTCGATTCTTTGGCTGAGCAGGACACCCCTTTGTC